GCACCTTAGAAAGGTTTCGAGTAAGAGCCGTTGCCAAAGGGTTCAGTCAAATTCCTGGCTTCAACTTCAAAGAAACTTTTGCCCCAGTCATCCATTACAAATCTCTTCGTTTCCTCCTCACCATATGTGCTAAAAACAAATGGGGACCATGACAATTCGATGTTAAATTTGCTTTCCTTTATGGCGAATTGAAAGAAGAAGTTTACCTGCGACCATTACCTGGATTTGGTGACAAAGGAAAAGTATGGAAACGTAACCGATGTCTCTATGCACTTAAGCAATCCGCAAACGAAGAGTATGCTCTCTTTGTCAGATTCTTAACCTCCCGAGGATTTGCGACATTATCCCATGACCCATGCATGTTTGTTCACAATAAACACAACGTCTACGTTTCGATTTACGTTGACGACATCGCCATCCACACAGCTGACACCCCAGAAGCTACATCTCTCATAGAAGACCTGAAACCGGCATTCTAGATTACAGACCTAGGGGAAGCCATATTCTTACTTGGCTTGCACATCGTATACACACCAGACAGGCTACATCTTACCCAAGAGCAATACATCAAGTCGATCCTCAAACGATTCAAAATAGAAGACTCAAACAGCGTTTCTACACCCTTACCAAAAGGCATTCAACATACGAAAAAGACCAAAGACACACGCATTCAAGACCCCTCCACTTACCAGTTGATGATAAGGTCACTTATGTATCTGACTACTGGCACAAGACCCGATCTAGCGTACACAATTTCTTTCCTCTCACCATTTTCTGCCTGCTCTACCGAGCAACACCTCAAGGCCGCCAAGCACGTCCTTCGATCTGTTAACGGAACAAAGCATATTAGACTCTTCTACCCTTACAATGCGACAAACGCTATTGATACCTATGTTGACGTGGACTTTGCCGCTTGCCTTGGTACTCGCTGCTCCTTTTCAGGATATATTGTACTTCTAAATGGTGCATGTATCTCATGGCACTCAAAGAAACAAGCCTCAGTCGCACTAGCAACAACCAAAGCCAAATACGTTACAATGTCGCTTACTGCAAGACAAATCCAATGGTTCCAAAAGAGTCTCGAAGATATCCATCTTGACTTACCGATCGCTTTGCATGCAGATAATACCCGCGCAAACTTTCTCGCAAGAAACCGTCAGCTAAACGAGCAAATAAAACATATCATTATACAGTACCACAAAATACAGGAAGAAATGGATAAAACCTCATTCATACTCGTGAAAGTTGCATCCTCCAACAACCTCGCTGACATCTGTACAAAAATCTTAGCCAAACCGGCACACAAACGGTTAATGGGACTTTTGGGCTGTAGATAATGAGGGGAAGTGTTGAATTTCCTAACTCGTTTCATATGTATATTCTCCTTGATAATATCGTATATTTCTCTACTTGGTATTATTTCTATGAACAGACATTACTACAGCAGGAGTATGTATTACGTATATTTCATTTGATATTTCATGATATGATTAGGGGATTATGGCATGCTTTTCTTATCTGGTGTTCAGATTAATTATATTTTACTTATCCATTCACACCATCTTAGATTTACGCATGTTTTATGGAATTTCCTTGGCAGTTGTTCAGGGTCAAACATGTTTACATTTATGTTTTTCCTACTTACATTACAGTCAAACACGTCAATACTTTGTTTTTCCCTTATATTTCCTCTTTATTACGAGAAGGATGCACACCTGTATAAATAGGGGTTACCACCCATCTCACTTAAGAGAATTAAGGACAAGAACTACTACCAATCTACCTTCATACCAAACTCCTCCTCACTTAACGTGCCCATGGTATATGGTATACTCTCTCTACCACGTCGTATTTTCATACAAAGTTATTAAGATAGTGCCGTACCGTACACATTTGAACAGTAGTGGCATCAGGCTACCTAGCAAGCTCTTCCAACGGGTCCAGAGTTCGTGGGGCTGGGTGGTGGATCCCCCCTCCTGGGCAGGCCGGCCCTGTTCGGGAATGCTTGACCCAGGTATGGTATACCCAACGAACCCGACAAAACTTTCTCGCCCAATCTTCCGGCCCGACAGACGTTATCCGGCATGACAATTTCTGTCACCATAGTAAGGATAATCTGAACTCACGGGACCGGGGGGCTCCATCCGTGAGGAACGCGGAGGTGCTGGATAATCTTCTGCCAAAGACCAACCTCTGGAGCTATCACTCATTCCCAACCCGCTCCGACATCAAATATTCGATGATGGTTACTCAACAAATCTCCTCCACATGGCGCTCCAGAAATCCAACTTTTTTTCACCCCTCGATTACTACTACGTGTCCGAGCATAGGCCCCGTCGACAATCCAAAAACAAACTTGAATAGCCCCCAAACTATTCAATCGATCAACCACATCTATGATCTCTCCTTCGGATACCGGTAGTGTTCTATCAGGTCCATCCTCCATCCTACGAATTTCTAGCTCGCCTCTGATCCTGATTTTCTGTGTTACGAATCTGATCGTGGGCAAATGCTACCCCAAACCCCGATTATACCAAGGTACACAAACCAAACCACCAGCCCCTATTACCACAACGAGTGGCAAGCAGGAAACTGGAGAAGGGGAGAATACCTGCTCCCACCGTCATTGGTATGGGACCTCGGGAGTCTCCTAACAGAAAGTTTGTTTCATAATGTCCCGGAATAGCTTGGGCCAGTTCAACCCATTTTATCCTATTCTACACCCAATCGGTTTCAAACTTGGTCCAGAAATAATGAACGCACAACTGTTGACCATCCAAGGCTTGATAGATACTTATACTATGTAGGATGTTCAAAGCATTTTCGGCCCCACCCACTTCCGTAAGTCAACACACGCCCATCCATCCACGGAGACCAATTATCAAAATTAAAACTCATGAAGCAGGCCCCACAGCCAATTCAAAAGTCTCTCTAAGGCGCAGCAGTTGCCAAAACAAGAAGGTTAAGGGATAGGGCATATATTGGGTGAGAATGTGATCAAATTTCCTCCATTTAGTCCTGCGTTATCAATTAAGCCGCATTAATCCTCATTACTCTCTTTTTCATCAAGGGCCTAAAATAACAAGCTATCTTCCATCCGACCCTCTTGAGCCCTTTATCTCCCTCAGTTCATTTCGCATATGGGCCCAACGGGTTCGTTGGATTGGCCCGGATTATGGTTCGTTGGATTAGGTTGGGTCGGGTCGGGTCCGCCCATTTTCGACCCAGGTCAACCCATTGGAAAACTTGGATACAAGCATTCAACTAGCTAAGAGAGAGCTAGTATTACACTAAAAGGTCCCACGGGAAATGGTATTGGCCATGGGAGAGAAAGAGCCAGCATTACGCCAAAGGTCCCACGGAAAATAGGATTGGCCATGGAGGAGAAAGAGCCAATATTACACCAAAAGATCCCATAAGTTGTATGATATTAGCCATAAATCTTGCCTGCCCTAAAAGAAGGGGTACTAGAGCAGGCTGTGGTCGAAGGTTTTCAGAGCAGTAGTCTACACCTCACGCATGCGGGCGACAGAAAAGTTGCTGCTACTATCCAGATCGCACCGGCCACCCACCACCAACCATAGAACCCGGCGACGCGAGTGATTCAAAGGGGGGGGCTTCCACCACTTTTGCTTCAAAAGACGAGATCGGAACTCCGAATTTGGGGGTTTTCAGGGGTGATGATCACCTTCTTAAGAATGCTAGTACTATGCTATCTCTCTGCCTCCGTCTATGGAAATATGTGCCTCAGAGGGCATATCGGGAAAAACGACCTCATGCAACCTTCCCGTGCTATTATCGCTCTCTCCAAGTTTACTCTTTTACCTTTAATCAAGTCTCTTCAAATCCACTTTAATCTCATCCTGTCCGTCGGACTCGGTGTTCAAGATAAAAATATTCATACTTTAATTACCCCCAAGAGACCCACTAGAAGCTTGCAGATAAAACCCGACCATTGAAATGCGATCCTTAGCAATCCCCATCCCCATCCACGAACCAGTGGGCCCTACAGCGCCCGCGGAATGCCAAAAGTGCTGAAAAAAGGATCAGCAAATACTCGAGTACGGTACTCCGTGAGGTAACTTACCGAGCAGATGATCCACGCCGGTTGAAAGAAAAAAGAAAAAAGTGGGGCATGATATACCTAAGACCCGCAGTGGATACTAACCATATCATCTTACCAGTAGCAGGTTACTCAGAGTGCAAGTTAAGAATTTCAAAATTGGGCTCAGCACAGACAAGTTCCATAGGGATCACCTTCAACCCTGAGAAGCCCTCCAGAATTTCGGATTCCAGCATCAGGAGGAAAGTAAAGAGCAACGCGACTAGTCCGGGTTTCAAGCTCCCACAATCACACGGGCACGTTCCCCGCCAAGGAGTTTGTCGACCGCCCAAGATGGCCCCAACTTTACCCTCACATGTTCTCTGCCATTCTTGACCAAGTCCAAGTGCTCGTATTTGCGGTCCCCAGTTGAATCGGGAAGCGGGGCCAAAGCGAAGTAGGGTGCATATGACTGACCGACTACAGTACCCGAGTGGAAGTTTACTGTTTATTAGTGCACTCCCGGTACCCGAGTCTGCCAGACTTAGTAATATGATGTAGAAAGCGATGGCAAGTCTTTGGGCAGAGAAGTGACATTGTACCCGACATCCGAATAGCCTACCGTACTGCCCATCAACAGATCACCTCTACTGTACTCGTACTCGTACTATGAGTACATTTATGGCCTACGTGTAAATTTACGCTTCGACCATTTGTGTTGACAACTTTCGTGATGCTGCCGATACTGCTCTACCGTAGCCCGATTCACAAAGGGCCAGGTACAAGTACAGTACTCGAGTACTGTAGCTCTCATCAAGGAAGAACACTCCCTAACCACCCAATTGGAGCAGTCTCCCAAAATAGAAAGTGTGGATACCGGTACTGTACGATACGGCAGTCCCAAAGAGCAAGCCCAATCGAACTTCCAGCTCCCACCGAAAGCAGTAGATTGTAGCTCGCCCTTTTCCCCATCACCCCTGATCACCACAATATGACCCTAGGAGGGGTCCCTTCGGGCGGCTATCGTTTTCTTCCTCGCAGTGGACATTGTTCAACTTGGGCGGGGTTGCGGTATCCCCATGAGGTTCAGCGACAACCCACACTTCCTGTTTTATCAATTACAGTACAACTTCTTCCCCTCCGCCCCACCTATGACAGACTATCCACTCGTACCGGTATCACACTCGAGCATGGTGCGAGCGCCGGATCCCTGAAGCCCCAAACACCTGCCCACCATTGAGTAGCCCATTTCACATGCGTGCAGGGTTAGGGTTATTCCCGAACCATTACATCAATGATGCCCTCCCTCGGCGCACGGAGAAGTCTTGAAACCCAGAACAAAAAACCTCGCTCACACCAGGAAAGTGAAAACGTCCGACAATGGCCTCGACACAATCACCACCGATCGCCCCGCGGCCACCCAAGGTTGTGATAATTCTGGCAGACGAGGGACAGGACCCTACGGAGGTTGCGATCCCGTGGAAGAAGTTCAGAGACGGTGGCTGGGAGGTGACATTCGCGACCGAGAATGGGAACGTGGCGAGGGCAGACGAGAGATTGTTGGGCAGCGGGGTATTCGCGACCTTTTTGGTGAGCCGCGACCTGTTATACGCTCCCCTCGGCCGTGCCACCTGCTGCCCCACACTATCTTAGAGTTGAAAGTGGTCTCTTATATAACTTAGGGCGCAAGCAAGGAAGCCGCGGCGGCTTATCGCGAGATGGCCGACAGCGAAGCGCACAAGAATCCCTTGGCGTGGTCGATGCAGGGATTCAGCTTGGTCCCTTACGGTACGGCTCGAAACCACTTTTCGTGAAGTTTGGCTCTTGTTTGGCGGACTGACTAATTATCTATCCAGATGCCGTTCTCCTACCCGGTGGTCATGACAAGCCAATAAGGCAATACCTGGACTCCGAGTCCTTGCACCTTCTCCTAAGGGAATATTGGCCATTTGTCAAAAGGTCTAGAGACGCAATCATGAACGATGGTTCGTTGAACGAAACCCCAAATCGTTATCACACCTTTGGGATGATTCATTAATTCCAGCCGGAGTCCAGAACCATCGAGGGTTGTCGGGGCCATTTGCCATGGAGTGGTAGCCCTATCGAACGCCACCCACCCCCCGCCATCCGGATCCGCAGACCCCAAAGGGCCAAGTCTGCTCCACGATGTTGAAACATCGACCTTACCCTACTGGATGGAACAAGTGGCCTGGGTCGCATCCCAGGCATGGCTCCTCGGTGGCTATTACAAGACCTATGGGGCACGCAGATCCTGCGCTTCCGATGTATGATAAGCCTTTCCCCGAAGCCGCCTGAATGCTCGGACCACCCCCCCCCATTTCTAACCCACCGCACTCTTCATGGCAGGTTTCGAAAGCGCTCAATAAGAAGGATCAGTACAAGTGTGGCCCACTGAGCCAGTCGTGAGTTGGCCCGTCAAATGCCCTCACCTCCCCTTCCCCCCTTCGACAAGTTATAATCCCACCGCTAGCTAACCAGCCATAAAAATCTCACAAGGCCATTCACTCACGTGGATCCCAATTACCACTATATATCCGCCAGATTTCCCGGGGATGCTTGGCTCTTCGCGGAGAAGATGATGGAGGAGGTTCAGCAGTGCCGGGACAACACGGTTTAATCAATTCCAACACGCCTATTATTACAACTATAATTATTACGTAGTCTACTGAGGTGAAAATTAAAAATTAAAAACTATCAAAACTTCGCACTAATCGTACACCACCCACACGCTCTAACAACCTCCAACGACTGAACAAATATACTCGTACAAGATGAGCGAATTAAAAATCCCGAGGACCTTGTGATGCCCTTTCGAAGGCAGGCCTTGCACATAGGAACTTTCTACGAAAGCGTCCCGTCCGCGCCATCACCACCATAGGTGGCCGTAACTTCTTTTCCTTTTCCTTCCTCTTCCCCTTCCCCTTCCTCTCCCCCTTACCACCTCCCGACGCCCACCGCCCCAACTCTTCCCATTTCCAAACCGTGAACTTCTTCCCCCCATGTAGATAGGCATTCCCGAATCCTAGGATGCGAATACGCAGCTTACCCACCCCCTTCACCTCAGCCCTACAGAGATGGCAAGGAAAAGAACCCGGACAAGGATCTGATTCGGACATCCTGGACTCCCAGAGCGTCTTGGCGCACGAAGCGCACAGGGCATGCGAACACTCACGGAACTGGACACTTATCTTCCTGCGCATGCAAATCCCGCACTCGAGGTCCCGCGCTCGGGGGCATCTGTAAGCACTCATGTGGGTGATGGTGCTCACATCATCATCATCACCATCCTTATCGCTCTCGCTGTCGTAATACCCACCATCACGAGCGTCTCGCGCGTCGGGGTGTTCAACAAGCCCATCGTCAACATCATCCTCCTCATCCTCCTCATCCTCCTCATCCTCCTCCCCTATACCCCTCCCATCGAAAAATAAATCCCATGAAAGCCCACCACCACCACCACCACCTCGCCCCCTCCCGCGCACCCCCGCCCGGTAAATCTCCCGGTCGACAATCCGGGCGATTCCCAAGACCCCACCGAATATGAGGGCATCCTCCCGGCCACGCCGGTACTCGGACGACTCGTCGCTCGCTACGCGAGACGGCAAATCGACATACACCCGTCTGCGATAGGGCCAGAATATCATATCCCGCGCGCTGGAACCTTCGAGGGAGACGGACGGGAAGCTCCCTACTGCCGGTGTGGTGGCGATTACAGTGGGCACCGGGATAGGGTTGTTGTTGAAACGGCGGCGGTGGGGGTGTTGGGGGCCGTAGATACTCGGTGTCGAGGGCGGCAGTGGGTAGGGTGTTGGGGTGCGGGCGGATGGGAAGGGGGTGGTTGTTGGTTGAGGCATTGCTTCTCTACTTGTTCTGTACTCGTGCAGGTAAACTTATTACACCGCAGCGGTGGCTGTAGCACTGGTTCTTGGGTTAGTGTTGGTGTGTACGACAAAGGATCCATAGGAAGATTGGGCAGGGGCGAGATAAAACCGCAGCGCCCACAGAAAAGGCCTACATTTATATATAAGGGAAGCGATAACAACTCTACACTTTCAAGATGAAAACTCGATGAACGACAACAAACTCACAGCACAATAAAAACACTCAAGAAGAAACATTCGCACAAGCCACAAATGCGCCCCATTGGACAGTCCGCACCGTATTGTTTGTTTGTTTGTTTCTCAGGTTTAAACCCCGCACTTCCCCGAACAAATTTGAAAAGAAAACAAAACAAAACAAAACAAAAAAAAAAAAAACCACCAACTAATTATCACGATACCAGAGCAACCGCGAGAAAATGAAATAGCCCCCACCACGGGTCCCCAACCCGGCCACCTTTCCCTCGACCTCAACCCGTTCCAAAAAGAAAAATACCGTAAAATGCTCTCACCACACACGGCCCCCCCGCCCCAAAACCCCAACTTCCAATCCGATCCGCGGATAGGGGTCGCGGCAATGCAAGGCTTGGCTCCAACTTGCTTTCTTTTTTTTGCACCACAGCGGTTACCGAGGGTACGTGACTTACAGTCGTTGGATCCAGTTACCCTTTGTCATGCAACATCACTCGCTGCCACGTTTTTGCCAGCTAATACTAAACCACTTCTACATTAACTTATATCCTATATCATACTCCAATACTCCAGTGAATCGAGTATGCGCCAAAGTTTGGACCCGACAGGTATTACTTTTTTCTTTTCTTTCTTTCTCTTTTTTATTTTTCTCTGGGGGTGGGTATTGTGATGGATCTTGCACGAGAAAGCACGGGAGGGTTGGGGGGGAGGAGGCCGGGTGGGGGGAGCCCTTACCACGGTTTGTACTACACTTGCCGGGCCCTGGGAGGTTGTGGGTGCTTGAGTATTGGGCGGGAGTTTAAAGTGCTTGCATTTCAACGCAACCCTGAGGGTCACACTGTTGGGTACGGCAGTATGAAGGTGGCGGTGAGAGACGAGTGGAAGCTTGTCCCTCCATCAGTTAGCCGGAGGTTGCTAGAAAAGTAGAAAGAGCAAGAAGGGCACTGATAGATCCGAAACCTAAAACTGCACGGATGAAGTGGCCATTCCCTCGAGATATGGACAGTACCGAGCCTCCCACCAGCGGAGTCTAATCGGCAGTCGAGGGGGTGGGGGCATCTACACTTTTATGGTCCAACCCCTCTTCTGTCTCTTTCCTTCTCCACTTGGTTTATTTTCGGCCCTTTTCCTCTCTTCACATGTTAGACTTTATCACTTATCCATTTTTCACCAGCGGTGTTGTCATCATCGCCGCCCCGGGAGTTTACCTGTAGGTTGGTAAGCATCATATAGATGTGTAATCAGGCGCCCCACCATCTAACTAGCGAATGGATAAGTTAAAGTGGGGTGACAATAACCTCAAGCTATTAGCTACTCTATACCATAAACAGCTATTTGCAGAGACTCACAGATAGCTACTACCTGGCTGAGAATTTTCAAGAAGCCGTAAGAATGATGAGGACAACCATTCCTTCCCATACTGGAAGTATGAGGCCTCTGATTTGATAACCCGCGGTGCTCGATGTGATGCCATAAGATTTGAAAGTGACTTGAGACTCTGTATGGGGGTGCCATACAAAATATACACAACACCTTTGTTCCAGTTTATAGGTGGTTTCTCGTTCCCATAACTATCTGTTCAACTTTCCCCGGGGGAAACCGCCCTCCCCTCGTCTCCCATCGTGATTTGGCCAAAAGTGGAGCCCCAAATTCGTAGGATGTGTTGAAATGGTTGGTAACGAGGGCTCAGTCTGAGTGTAAAACTGGCATCGGCTTTAGACTAGTTTTTTTGTTCTATAATAGTATCAGACTTTAGCTTAACACGTGAATCAGTCCCATACTTGCAGCCTCCAATTCGCCAAAATCCCAGAAAACCCGATCCTATCCCGTCAAGCTAAGCAATCAACTGGGGTCCCGCAAGAAACAACCCTACGAACATCACGGGTTCAGCAATGTACCGTACTGTGCACAAAACAAACTCGTGACCCGAACAATGCCCCATGATCGGCCACCGTAATCCCGAAAAATCGTGGGCGAATCGCAACAATTCCCGAGACTAAAAAAAAAAAAAAAAAAAAAATAGGAACGAAAGAAAGAAAGAAAGAACCGGCTTCGGGTACCGTGCGGTGGGTAGTAAGCTACTACATCCCCGCTTCGTACGTCCATTCTCTCTGCCGGATATCACACGACGGCTTATTTCGCTGGGGAGAGAACAGGTTTTTTCTTCTTTACTTTTTTTTTTTTTGCCCCCGGTTCTCTCTCCCCTCCATGCCTTCCATCCGTCCCTCTTTCGTGCCTGTGCTAGAGTCCATATCCAGGATTAACTAGAACATCGGCAGATATACAATCCTTCCAACCACCCATTGATCCAGAGAAGAGTAGGGCGGCCGTGTGAATTATCATTTCTCAAACAAAACCCCCCATAAACAACTCCACCCAGCAGCATCGTCTTCAACTCCGTGGGGGGGTTTGCGAAGCAACTGCCAATGGCTATTGACTCCTCGCAAATACTACTCGCCTGGAGGAAACCCCGGTCTCCAATAAGGTGTAAGATGTTAGATGCCCCTCATTCCCCCCCCCCCCCTTCCCACCACCACCGTCTGATGTCCACCGTTGACGTACGGTGTACCCTCAGTTGAGAAAAGGATACTGTGAATGCTCGTTAAATCTGCCGTCTCCTGAAGGGCCCCAACCTCGGAATGGGGGGCAGAAAGGCCCCCGAGATGGAGCGGCGTTTTCTGTACGATAAGTGTCTAACTTGGGCGAGTTGAGAGTTCGGGATCACGTTGGGTAGTCTTTGTTATTCTGATAAGCTATGATCCCATGCCATGCCTATGGTGGTCTAGCACGGTGGTTTCCCGTTGCGTGCGGTACTCGAGTACGTAGTCTGACGGTCGATTAAACGGGTTCTTCCGGGATCGTATATTTCACAGGATCTGGCCTACTGCTGCTGCCGCCGTACACAAGTACGAGTACTGTACGCATGGCATTAACGCTGGGGACTTTGGCGAGTAGGATATTGTACCGTACTGTATTCCAAATTGTCACCCCCTATTGCAACCCTACAATATAATGGCCCAGTCAAAGCCGCCACCGTCAAAGCCAGCCCCCCAGGACGAGCGCCATATGTTTTATCACGCCCTCAAACCACAAGATGTAACCCGTCACTCGCTGCCGGCTACGCTCCATACACCATATCCACTCCCTGTGAAAACTTTCTCCCTTCCTGACAACACTCCCTCCCACACACCCCAACAACTCGATGAAGCCTACGATAAGAGCCTTCACTACCGTATCCGTATCTCACTTAGCGTACAGCGCACACTACCCTCCTCCACCAGCTCCATACCGTGAGTCCCCACCCTGGCCGTGGCGTCAGAGTGAGCGGACTTACCGCGCTCCTCCCCTTTTCCGTCGAGTCACAGTAACCCCAGGCCCAGGGTGCTCCTCGGGGCGGTGGTACGAGGGTATATATGGTACATTTACCTACCACTTGCCTTCCATGTGGCGAGTTTTGCGAGCCTTGATATAAATGTGAAATCCGGGTACCGGTACTTTGACGTCCGAGCGCATTAACACCGGTCCGGTTGCTCTCCCCGCACCCCGCTGTGATGATATGGCACGAAGCCTTCCCAAAAATGGCTGCTATCGTATTCCGCCCAACTGAACCCTAGCAAATGGACCAATTTCTAGTGGAACGCTGTGGTAGCCCTCTTCAAACACACTTGGAGATCGCAGGTACGAGTCTGGCCGAGGGTAGCGGCTGTAGTCGGCGATTGTAATTAAGTTACTGTGCTAGGTCGGCCGGATTAAATAGATGTGGTAGAATTCGTACATGTACTCGTACACCCAACGGAATCTATGGTGTGGGAACTCTGTTGCCGGAGTAGGCGGACATTCATCCTGACTTAGTAATAGTATGTTGAGATTCTAAGAATTTCCTTAATATAGGTTAATATCTTGGCAAAATTATATTAACTGCATGGCCTATGGATATTAACAGAAAAAAAACATGCCCAAAAATATCCCAGACATTTCAATTCTCTCACCCAAAATCTACCCCCTTTTAAGCTTCAATAACTTTATGAAAACAAAAGATATTTTGATTTTCTCTCTATTAGTTTGAAGGCAACAGGCTACTCTTTCACCTAATAGAGTTACTTTTTTGATTGGGATTTCTGTTAAAAAGTCTTTAGGTTTTGGCTTTAGCCCTCAGATACCTCACTTAGTGCTCCGGGTACAGAGTTCCCACACCATACCGTGCAGCACCGTAAGTCAGCATGTCCCGCGATGGATAAGGCAACACCCGGGCCCAGCCATTCTACGGGTCAATGGCCTCGGCGTGGACTTCTTATACAAAGTACACTGTCTTAACCTTCAGTTTCACTTTTCTCCTTCATTTCGATTTCCATGGGGATTCATGGTAGGGCAATCGCAACTCACAGCGGTTGCGAAACAATTCACCCCCACTCAGGCTACTTATGGTACAGTACAGTACAGCACCCTACTGTACTCTCCTATTACAACATCTTGACCATAACAGAAACCCTTCCCTCCCCCCTTCCATCCACCATCCCCATTCCCCAAACCACGGCAAGCAATAACAAACCGAGAAAGTCAGAAAGGGTGCCCCCCCACTGCAACCCCGATCCCAGGATATCACAAAAGACGGGCAAGCAAGAAAGGTCCCTGGTACCACTATCGAGATTTACCTCTAGCATATTCCCAAAGCATGTAGACGTCAAGATACCCACCAGCTGGCCCTTGCCTGTGCCATATGTAGAAAAAAGAAGGAAAGAAAGTAGCCCTCCCTCTCGCTTTTCTGCCCAGTTAGGATCTGTGATTTGTTCCCGGGATGCTCTCGTTTGTTGAGTTTGATAAGTCATTATCTGGCAAGACGATAAAGTGAGATCGTCTAACTCGCCTTTGGCTCACCCCCGATAATCTCTGCGTTTTCCACCCCCCGTGTAGGTTCCGGGGATTCACCCCTCCATCGCACACCCGAAAACGCACCAGGCCCGGGCCCTGGTGGGCTCGTGTGCGTTGCGTGAGATAATGCACGAAGGCGGTGCTCGAGTGATAGAGAGTCCGGTTGGACAAGAAAAAAATAAGTCACGCAGCATCCGCGGTCTGAAGAACCTGCCGGGAGCCCTCCCTGAGACCCGAGAGTCCCCGGATGCGGTGCCAGCACAGGTGAGAGGAAAGAGGGATGGGCCAATTGTGATATACGACATTGCCAGTATCCGAGCCCAGACGTGTGTGTACTCGTTCACGCCGGATCATTCATAGTAATATAATACGCTTACCATCGGCGGTACCTCTACCTCCCCCCTTCCTTCCTTCTTTTTCCGATACAATCGCTCCTAGGAGAAGGTGTGCTTGTGTTAACCTACAATAGGCGTCCTAGAAGCGTACGGCTTTCTTCTTTCTTTCTTTTTTTCTTTCTTCCCTCAAACCCCTTCTTTTCTTGCTCCAACCTTCGTATCATCCAAGATAGCCTCCAGAATCTATCTGCCCAGAGAGATTATTCCAATCCTGGAGCCCCTCCTAGACCATGCACGTTCCCCGATCCTTATAGGTGATGTTTTGGCTGCCTTCTTGGAAAAAGTATGGTAGTTAGTATAGGCTGAATTGATGCCTACATGCTTTTCTCTGAAAATGCCCATGCCCGCGGCGCCTATCTTCTAGTACTGTGCTTGTATCCGTGCACAGGCCCAATAAGAGACTCCCTCTCTCTATCCTTCCTTTCCCCAATAAAGTATGTACTCGGGAGAGTTGGTAAGGGTTCCCTTGGGGGTAAAGGTGTCACAAAACGCCACATGAAGGAATTGCACGGGCGTACAGCGAAAAGAACCAGCCCCACTCCCCACCCCAAACCTTAGCAGCACTTCATAGTAGCTCTTATTCTTGTACGAGTACTCGCATTGGCACCGTACGGGTGCGAGCAAGGAAGCAGGCTCAGGGCAGAAGGTTTCGCTGAATATTTTATTACTTTATTTCGTGTTTTTTTTTTTCAGCTCCAACAGCCAACCATCTAAGGTAAATGCTAGGGTCCTAGGGAAATCGGATCCTCGTTCCAGCTCCGCGCGGGAGTGCGGGAGCTCTCATAAGCATGTCCTCTGTTCTTCCCAAGTGTTGGATTGGCTTTCCGGGATCGGGAGCGCTCCCTAGTCGATAGCGGTGTTAGAATCGCCGCTTTCGGTCAATTGATCTGACCGTAATATATGGTACAGTACCCGAGCTAATAAAACACTAGGAATTTCGCTCACCGTGTCACAACCGAATTTCAAATATAAAAATAAAAACAAAAATAAACCCCCCAGTTACAGGTCCCTGGCACGAGCGGACTGAACACAGCGGGGGTTCCCGGAGTTGAAAGTCCTTGGCAAAGCCACTCCCCTATGTTCACTCCGTACATGCCAGGGACTTGTAGTAGTACAATGCGATATGTCGTATCAGAGAAAGGAGATCTAACGCTTTGCGAAATACGGTGGAGCAGTGCCAGCTAGCAATTGATGGGCTCTGTGAACTCGCCCTAGAGCGTACCGGTAGATTTCTCTCCTTGCTTCGATTTGCACCGTTCCTGTCCTCGCCCTGATATTAGTATCAGGGTGACATTTGTGATATAATCTCCATCAGAGATTTCCGTATGAGAACCCTCTGAGAAAGCCCGCATTGCCCCGATCAGATCTAATACCGGTACCTGCTCTGTCCCATTTGTGCCGGGGATTCAGGATAGGACTAGAGCTAGGACCACCGAAACTCCAGTTGCCGAACCATCTTTCTTTTTTTTCCTCTTTTTTTCTATATATACGCAAGAGAGACACGATAATCCGTGCACGCGTATCCACGTAGAATGAGAAGTACGGGCACTCTCAATTTCAGACAGTGTTCGCGATAGATAGGGGTAAAAATTCATAAAGCGAGTGCGGGATACTCGCACCTTCCGAGAGATTCCGGGTAAACTGATCAGAACAAAAATAAAATAAAAGAGATGCATCACACGTCGGAGAGTTAATGATGCAGTGTTCGAGTGTCCCTCCAGTAAAGAGGCTTCCCTGGCCCTCGGCTCCGAGAGTGAGGAGGTGAAATACCTGGACAGCAGTCAATACCCAACCCAACCCAACCCCCGGTCCCAATAAGCATCCCCAGGTTTAAAACCCTGCGATGTGGGCCTAAGTTCAATTGCATGCAGTTAAAAGGCTACTCCAGCACGGGGCTCTAGAAGTACGACGGAATGTGCTGTCTGCAGTGCGACAAACAACCAATCCAACCGTGTTCAAGGCATTGCGAGAGCTTTTCCCTTTTCTCCCCCCCTCTTTCCAATCACTAGCGTTGAAGATTCCTAATCCTTACCTTTTTGGATGCGTGCTCTGGTACTGATATCCTCCTTCAACCCCTAAAGTCATTCCCATCGGTGAATGGTATAGGACATAAGAGGTCTTGATTGACGGGAGGGAAGGAGGGAGGAGGATGCATGCATGCATGCCAGTGAAGCTAAGATGGATGGATGGATGGATGGATGGATGGATAGATGGATGGATGGGATGGCTGTACCGGTGCTGCAGCGAACGAGCACTCGAGTAGAATGATTCACATCCTCAATTTAAGGAAGCGGTGATTTAAACAATTCATTGGATTACCGATTCCAAGTTTGATATTCACTCCCACATCAACTCACCTTTTCATTGGACTCTCACTTTTTCTCAATAGGGCCCACTTAACCCTTTAGTTGGGTGGGAACGAAGCCACGTGAGATTTCTGTTTGGCCGGATCCGAGCCGATAATCCCACCATCTCGTAAAGTCTCAAACCAGGCCAAGTAAGAGACGAGAACGGAGGGGGAAAAATAAAATAAAATAATGCTTGCTTCGGTGGCATTACACCAGCCTCTCCCGCCATGCACAGCTCCGGGGACAACTGCCAGCTGCTTCTTGCAGCGAAAAAAAAAAAAGAATCAAGATCGAAATCCGTAACCCTGATGCTTCACAGGCTATCGAGTTCTTACGATTATCCCAATCCATCAGTGCGGTAGGGCACTCCATCTCACTACATGATACCCTATATCTAGATCATTACTACCGGCTCCGGTTTCGCTCTCCCTGTGAAACGTCCGATGCTTTCGAGTGGCCCTGGTCCAGGATCCTCCACCGGGAACCCAAGATTGATTCCGAGAGGCGGACAAAGTGGCGATAAAAAGGAATCACCCTGCAAATACCAATAACCGCTGGCTGGCCAACCTGCAACGGACCGGCTGACATTATAACGTCAATGTTTACAGCAACGGTGGAGCACTCTGCCGTTCATACACTCCCGAATGTGTACTTTGAGCGGGACCACTTCACATACCGGTATTGCACGTCCGCCAGCGGTGGGGGCCCTTGTGGTGAATGGAGAAATACCCATGGCCGCATTGCATGGCAAGAAAAAGGGAAGAGGGAGAGGAGGGGAAACAGGAGAGTGTGTGAAAAGTTCAATTAGATTAAACAACATCCCAGCGAATGTGCAACGGAGGGTATACAGATGAGCCACATCGCTCCTCTGTGCCTTGTGCTGGAAGGGTGACAATCCATGGCCATTGTCCGTCGTCCGTCCAAGATAAGCACTGCGCTGTGTGGAATACTTTCCTCCACAATATGGAGTACGGGATTGTCGACACCCCCACGGCGGGCTTCTGGCAATGTTCGATTGGGTGGTTGCCATCCGATTTGAGGATTTCCACCCATCGGGACAACAGCCGCTCACGCGAGACCCAACTTCTGGTGCTTGGAAATTAGGCCAGAGCTTCTGGAGCAAAGCACTGCACGGTACGGAATCACTTCTCCTGACCGAACTTATACCGGTACATGCAACAACTGCACCTTAGGAGGCGATAGATGGGCCAGATCCCTTTTTTTTTATCCCCTTCTTTTCGCTTCTTTCCTCCTTCAGGACCGTATCTAGAGCGATACCACCCATTCACAACCCGTCCACCACTTCTCTGATCAGTTGATATGGTCCTTCTTGCCATTTTTATTTGTTTTTCCTTCTTGATCCCTCCCCCCCCCCCCCCTTCCTCTTTCTAAAGCTCACCACGCTCACCCTGCCTATCCTCTTCCACCTGCTATGGCCTCCAGAAATATTTCCAGCGAATACTCATCACCATGCACTGACCCTTGTTTGGTGGCTATGGTGCTAGCTATCCGGACCCCCGTCCTCTTCCAACGTCAAAGCTAGCATACAATTCAAGATGGTGTACGAGTACAGGTACAACAAAGGCATGGAGGTTTCTCACGTATATATCCTACCCACAGCTTCCTCATCCTCCTCTAGACCATTCTAGCAAACAAACGTTATCCTCCTATTCCTCCCCTTCTCTCACCCCCCCTCTACTCCCCCATTCCGTTCTCCTCTTCGCTGCCCCCACTGCCGCCAATACGGTTCCAAAGCCTCCCTTTCCCCTCCGACCAAGCACCCCGCTAGTTCAGCAAACAATCACAGACATTTTCCATCCACAATGCAGCTCACTCCGGACATGAAGAGTTGGGTGGAGAGTAAGATTCAGGAGCTCACTCTCGAAGAGAAAGCCTTCCTTCTGTCCGGCGTTGATATATGGAGAACGCATGCGGTTCCCCGCGTGGAAATACCGCAATTGAAGGTTGGATTACAATTCCCCATTCCCCGCGATCTGCAGGCCGGAGAAGCTTCTCCAAATTAAACACTCTTGTTTGCTTGCCTATTTCCTGACGCTGTGTAGACTACAGATGGCCCTGTCGGAGTTAGGGGTGGTACGATGGTTGATGGAACCACCGCTGCTCTCACTCCCAGTGCCGTATCACTCTCTGCAACCTGGGATGTCGAGATCGTAGCTGGTATCGGAGATCTCCTCGCAACGGAGGTTCGAGACAAAAAGGCGGATATCCTGCTGGCACCAACAGGTCTGTGGTCGACAAGAACCCTAACCCTATCACTCACCAATACCAACCCCCGTGTGGGCGGCCCAGCTAATGCGCGCTAGTTTGCTTACATCGCTCGCCCCTGGGCGGCCGGAATTTTGAATCTTTCTCTGGCGATGATCCATTCCTTGGAGGGAAGCTTGCGGCATCGTATATCAACGCTGTGGAGAAACATGGGATCGCTACCACGATCAAACATTTCGCTGCCAATGATCAGGAGACAAGACGCTTTGTAGTTGACCAGGTGATAACGGATAGATGCCTTCGCGAGCTTCACCTTGTTCCATTTCAGATTGCTATCCGGGATTCCAATCCTTCGTGTGTTATGGCCAGTTACTCCAAGATGAATGGGGTATATGCGAGCAACAATAAGCGTTTATTGACGGGTATCTTGAGAGACGAATGGAAGTTTGATGGTATAGTCATGAGTGATTGGTTCGGTGTCAACAGCATTGTCCCTAGCGTTGAAGCTGGACTCGATTTGGAGATGCCCGGACCGGCCAGGAAACGGGGCAAGAATCTTGTTGATGCGGTAAACAAGGGTTTCATGATGGAATCTACACTCAACATCAATGTTAGGAGGGTCTTAGGATTGGTACGTTTGCTATTGCCCGATGATATCTACAATCGGCGCACTTATCGCGCACGCCCCCTCATTCAATCGTCGCGCAACAAAAACTGATCGAGTAACCCCCAACAGATCTATAAGACGGGAAAGTATAAGCACCCCCTCAGAGAAGAGGAACCCGAAGTCGCGAACAACAGACCCGAACACCGAGCATTCCTAAGAAGGGCAGCTTCGGAAGGCATCGTCCTATTAAAAAACGAGAGGGGGCTCTTACCTCTAAAGTTGGAAAAAGCAAAGCAGGTCGCATTTATCGGGCCGAACGCAAGAGCATCTGTTGCTGCAGGTGGAGGGTGAGTACTCGTACTGGACCAATCCAAGAAATTTCATCACCGTGTTCCCCAAACCGTTCCATCCCACCCTTTACCCGGCCCATTCCGAGATTCTTCTTGCATAAGTGGTGTGCTTGGCGGGGGCATGGGGGAAAAAAAGCTCGGAACCTCGCCGGCTAACTTTCTTTACCCAAAGTTCCGCGGCTCTAAACCCCCACTACCGCCAAAATCCATACGATTCCTTCGTCGAAAATGCCGCATCCAAGTTCCCAAATCTGAAGGCTGAGCACGCAAAGGGATGCCTAGCCAACAAATGGGTTCCCCTATTCCCGGAGACCTGCGTTTCGCCCGAGAACGGTAAGCATGGCATGTACATGGAGTACTTTGACAACACGGCTCTGCGTGGACCGGCAGTTCACGCCGCTCACCGCGAGAGCACACTGCTGTCGTGCTACGACAATTTGCCAAAGTCTTTTGTGCCGGGGAAGAGATATTCGTACCGTGCGACTGGGCTGTTAACCCCCAAGACCTCTGGGAGGCACACCTTTAGCATGGGCTCATGCGGGCCAGGGAGACTCCTGGTTGACAAGAAGGTAATCATTAACATCTGGAACCGGACCAAGGAGTCTGAACGCTCAGAGATGTTTATGGCCTATGCCTCCCCAGAGGTGCGCCACGATCTTGACATGGTTGGTGGAAAAACCTACTTGATTGAGGTGGAGGGTGTATCCAAGGAACTGGACCCCATCCCTGTGCACTATACGAATGAGTTATATAGGGATGAGGTCATGGACGGGTCGAGGGTAGGGTTTACGGAAGAGGTTAAGGATGATTTGTTAGGCGAAGCAGTGGATTTGGCCAAAGAGTCGGATTTGGTTGTCCTGGTTGTTGGGAAGAACATTGAGTGGGAGAGCGAGGCTTATGATATGAAGAGCATGGATCTACCAGGTGGCCAAGATGAGCTTATCACCAAGGTGCTCAAGGCTAATCAGAACTCGATTATCGTAAATCAGTCGGGATCTCCGATTACAATGCCCTGGGTTGATCAAGCGTCTACCGTTCTCCAGGTGTGTACCTCCCCCCATCCTACACCAAGCTTACCGTTCTTCAACGTCCGTGACATGTGACTGACGTTCCCAGGCGTGGTATCAAGGACAAGAACTCGGAAATGCGCTTTGGGATGTTCTTGTCGGAAACATTTCGCCTTGCGGCAAGCTCCCGGTGACCTTCCCCAAGCGGTTAGAAGATACCCCGTCGTTCCACAATTTTCCGGGCGAGAACGACAGGGTGGTTTACGGAGAGGGCATCTGGCTAGGGTACCGCCACTACGACAAAGCAAAGGTTGATCCCCTCTTCCCCTTCGGATTCGGCCTCTCGTACACCAAATTCGAGTACAAGAACACGAGGGTTTCATCCGAGATATTCAAGGACAAGACGACGGTATCAGTGGACGTTACCAATGTTGGAAGAATGGCCGGAAAGGAATCCATTCAGTTCTATGTCTCACAGACCTCAAAGCCCGGCCTAGCCCGCCCCATCAAGGAGTTGAAGGGCTTCGCAAAGGTGGACTTGAAGCCAGGGGAGACAAAGACTGCCAGCTACGTGCTGGACAAGTACGCGCTGGGATATTATGACGAGAAGAAAATGTCTTGGGTGGTTGACAAGGACGCCCAATTTCAGGTTCACGCAGCGGCAAGCTCAAGGGATATAAGAGGATCAGTGAAGTTCCGAGTTTCAGGCACCATGCAGTGGATAAATTGATTTTTCCTCCACGTCTCGCCCCCCACCTTCGCCTTCACTTACCACATTCCCATCTGGGGGGGTTTCCTATTTTATGCCGGCACTTTGGGCTTATCTCCTCATTTCCTTAGATCTTAGGCGGCATTCCATGAAATGATTTTCACATCCTTACCAATGCTTGTTTTGTAAAGAGTTAATATCAGGAGAAGGCTACCGGCTGGGAATTTATGACCAATCACGAAACCATTTTCTGATAAGACATTTCTGATAAGATATCGCTTGGCACGAGATATATATCAACCTCGGTTGGTGAATTGGTGAAACTGATGAAAGTGACGAAACAAAAGGGAAAGGACAAATCCCATGAAGCCTAATCTAAACAGCTCTGCCAAAAAGCGAAAATTGACCCTCCCTCTCCTACCTTCTCATCCTCCTCAGTACACTACTACTATACTAAGCAACAAAAAAACCGAAAACGCCCGAAAAAATAAACAAGGTATGACAAACAAGCAATTCCCATCTTGACAACCCAACCACCAATATAATAAACCTCGCGATAAGATATACTGCCATGTACCCGCCCACCCGCGTCAACCCCGCCCCACAGGAGCAGAAATCTGAAAATCCAACTTGGCCGCCGCATTCTCTAGTATGTGCGCATCATGTTTGAGGGCAGACGAAATCGGAGAGAGGGTTTGCAGCCAATGAATTGTCTTCCGGAATAATTCGGCAAGGAGATGCTGTGGTACCATGCTTTTTAGAGCTGGGGATTGGTAGGCTGCTTGGAGGACAAGGAGGTTTCCAAATTGTCTATAGCAACGTTAGCACACGACCGAGAGAGGGGAAGAGGGAGAAGTACGCATGCGCTGTCCCGAAAACATTCGTGATGACAGGTCTATTCACATCGGGCGAGAAGGCGTGAAAGGCCGTAGTACTAGAGATCGCGGAATTAATACACTTCCGACAACTAGTTTCCAGCGAAACAGGCGCCAAATCCGCCCTCTCGCTTTCTCCAGCAACGCTAATCCTCCTACCTCCACCCACTATATTCCCCGATGGATTGAATCCCCCCGGTGTGGTAGCGCTGGGCGAACTCTGCGACATCTCGCCGGTAGACATTGCAGGCGGGGATGTAGAAAAGGCACCGCTGTTGCTGGGGGCATTGTACACACCGTTTCCACCGTGGATGGCGTGGTAGACGAATGGGCGGTGGATGATGTAGCGTGCACCGAAATACTTTGCGCGAAGGCGGGCGGCATTGATGTCCGCGGGTGGTTGGTCGGACTCTTCCCAACGGAGGGCCTCGGGCAGGTGGAGCTTCCATTGTTCCAACTGGTAGTCGAGTTCTCGGGCCATCGCGAGGGAGCGGGGGGAGTCGAGTTTCACTTTATCTAGGAGATTGTTAGAGTTGCTTCTAAGGATATGGAGGGCGGACTAGCCTCTTTTGTAGAGAGACGTGTGGGCTCGGTTTAGTAGCTTTCTCAAGGCAATCTGAGCGAGGTAGTACATCCACATCAACGAGTTGTCCTCATCCGTACCCTCCGTGGATGAACTGTCCGTAATTCCGCTTGGAAGGGGCATCGAGTCCTCCAATCGCGATATCCCGCTCGGCGGAAGGTCAAGCTCAGCAAGGATATCACTACCGTACACAATCAACAATCACCGAAACCCCTCAGAGCAATATAATGCCAGAACAAACCTTTCAAGCTGAAGACAACTCCAGAAAACCCGAAGAATCATATCCCTCCTCAGCTCACTACCCCCACTCTCCAACCTCCTGTCCACAGTTAGACTCTGCCGAGACCGACTGACGTCAAAACCAAAACTCACATCCTAACCAATATCTGGCACCCCATGCATGCATAATTAATCCACTTCCAACTATCCAATACCCTCCCCAGCTGTCCCCAGTACAATCCCGCCAGAAGGCAAATCTGGACATTCTCCAACTCGTTACCCCCCGACAGAACCCCCACGATCTCTGTCGCTTTCACGAAATATGCTAGTCCGGGAATTACGTCAATATTCCTAAGTTCCCGGCCTTGTCTGCACTGTAATCTACCAGGGCGCTGCTGCTGTTGGCTATATGAGTGAAAAGGCGAACCCGCTCCATGATACGAAGGACCGGAGGTTTTATAGGGAGGTGTAGTAGTCCGGAAACCTGGGGAATTGGACAACGGGGGTAATGGTCCTGGGACTGGTCTTTTATGTAAACACACGGCTCCAAGGGCCATTACCAAGAGTACCAAGGCCGAGTGCAGGGTCCTGGGGATCCGCTGTGGAGAAGGCCCCACCCCCTGGGAGGAAGGCGTTGAGTGCAGTGGCCCGATTCCGGATATGCTCCGCTTTCTCTTCGCGGAAGAAGAGTTCCTCCTATGAAGCCCCGGGGACGGCATAGACCCATCCCCCTCAGCGGTGGATCCCAGTCCCAACCCTATGTTAGGCCCTAGCGCTCCGGCAGAATAAGGGGTGGTGGGTGACACTGCAGACACAGATGCCACGCGCTCAGAAAACAAAAACACCATATTAGTTACTGCAGCCTTATCCACAACAGGGTGTAAAATATGAATATTCGCCAGAAAACTATTCAGCAGCGCAAGGGTAGTCTGATGGTCTAACTTCAGCCCGCCTCCGGTCGTCAATCCACTCCCCGTATAAGCGGACGGTTTCCTCCGGGAGTTCATATAATCCCCGGCTTCCGGTAATACATCCTCCATCGGGGAATCCTCGGTACTCCTCCAGAATCCCTCTACGCCTTCATCCGCCCCAATTCCACTATCCCAGATGAACCCCGCATCATGATCATCCAGATCCTCAAACATTGAGCCGGAAGAATCCAAACTCTCCCCTCTTCCGTACACACGTAAGGGGCCTCTCTTCTCCTCTGCTTTCATCACATAACCTTCATTCGCTAGAAATTCATCGTCAATATTCTTCTGGATACTTGGCCACCCCATGAGCTTATGCGCAGCAGTAGTATGCTGCACCGGTATAGTGAGCTGCTCATCCCCCTCTAGCGGAACCTCGGTGGGATTGCTAGGGTGTGGGCGATGATCCTGAACAGAGGCACCGCCCGCTGTAGCTTGAGGATGAGCCTGTTGAGCCACAGGGGTAGGAGGATGAAAAGGCGAAGTGCTCTGTAAACTTTGTAGAGATGTCTCATTAATAGTTGCGGCCTCCTTTGGTGCGGTAGCACCACCAGTCCCCCCACTACCACCGGTCGGAGCCGCAACTGCAACTACTTCTCTGCCAGAATTGATCGAATCTAACAGAGTCTCTACCCTCCCTAATCGCTCCAGAATCTGGAGTAATGTCCTATCTTGCCTTCGGGGAAGAAAAGAAAGGATTTAGTAAGACCTGAAATTTACTGGGGTATTAAAACTCACTTCGGCGGTGGTACTTCTCTATAGACGCAAGCAATCTGCGACTCCTTGCAAAAACCACAGCTTGGCCTTCCCTCGTCACATTTAGCCTTTCTCGCTCTGCAAGCGTCACACGCCTTCATCAGGTCAGTCCCGTGCAAATTCCATATCATAACCCAAGTAAATGGAAGAAAAAAGACGCAAAAATGAAGTCTCCAGTCCAGCCATCAGGCAGGTAAAAAGTGGGTGTTAAACCGGAATACGGAATGATGCAGTTGATCGTAAACACACACCCATGCCCAGTTCCACCAACCGCCCAAAATTCAAGCAGAGGCGCTCTTCTGGAAGACCGGCTCCAGGGTTTCTTTTCTTTTTCTTTTCCCCATCTTCCTCCCGCGAATGCGTATTCCCAGCGGCTTGGTGAGGTCACATGATCACACAGCATGCATAAACCAATATTCGGGCCCCATTGAAACGGTCTCACAAAAGCCCTCAGTGCTCCGGAGGAGTTATCCACTTTTGGCCCTACAGACGCCATGTCTTACGGAATGAAATATTCAAGGTAAAATAAGTATAGAAGGAGAAAAAGAAATAATGATACATACTTGTGCAGCCCTGATTGCCTTTCGACGAGGAGGGTAGGTAGTCACCACATTCATTTGCTGATTTCCCATTACCGTTCCCGGGATACCACCGACAGGTGACGCTGTTGCGACAGGGCTTGTAACCCCAGATGCTGAAGTGGATATATGGTGATGGGACATCATCTGTGTGGGAGTTGTAGAAAAGCCGCTGGTCATTATAGGGCTAGGGCCCGGAGGTAGGGTTCCAGAGCTCGCTGGCGATGCGTTGTCATATAAGGCCGGAGGTCGACTATCCCCGATGGCAGCGTTTCCACCTGAATTTCCCGGATGGGACAAATCCTGCTGGCGCTGGCCCTGCATTTGTTGACCGTAGTACCCAGACGTGTCCGGTTGATAGTGAGAAGGGTGCCCGGCGGAAGAAGAGGAATTGGTGGAGACAGAGAAGGAACGCAGTTGTTGAACCTGTTGCTGGTCGGTTGCATTGCGGTAGTGCGGTGTAGAACCGGCGGGGGGGGTGCCGGTGCAGAGCCGTCCATAGAAATTTGCTGACCCTGCGGTTGATGGTGATGCTGAGTCTGGAAGCCGTTATTATACCCGTTGTTGTTGGGGGGGGGGGCAGAATTATGTACAAGAGGATCTGTATGCGGCGAGGCTGCTACTGTTGCGTTACTAGCGAGTGAATGCCCAGGATGTTGCTGCTGCCGCTGTGATGTACCATTCTTTCCGCCAGTTGCTATCCCGGGGGGGAGTGTGGGAATTGAATGCGATCTCGAATGTGACAACGTATGCTGAACCGGTTGCGGGGGCGTTTTCATCTGCCAGTCGGCAAAACTAGCTGTTGGCGACGTCGTAGGATATGTGGAGGAACTTTGTGGAGGGAAATGCTGAGAGTGGGTGTGATGCATCTCATGGGAAAGGGGCGAGGACGATGATCCCCAAGATTCCAGACGGGGCCTCTTCGAGTCGGAGTTGGTTGCAGACATAACAGAATGGCCGATTCGAAACCTGCTGAATGATTCAACAAGGCATCCGGAGAGGAGACCCGAACAGGTTCAATTAATAACTCGGACGGAGCGAGAGAAACTTACCGTACTAGGCGGGTGGGGGAGACCTGTCAGGCCTCAAGTACCATTCGCAAGAAGCGCTATTTCAGACGGGAGCTAAGCCAGCCAGGAGAAAACCGACCACGCTCCTAAGGGAGCGTGCCCGTGGGGGGGAGGGTGATTGAGGCGGCCTGGTGGGTAATGGTAGCTCCGGGAAGAACTAGTGGCGGTGTATCCGTATTATTTTTTCCCCCCCCTTCGACGTCCAGAGAAGCACCAAAACCGTGTTGGTCGGGATCTAATTCTGAGGAGTCGGGATAAAGAGTCTCCCTCTACTAAGCTTAGGGCCTTCAATCCTTCCGGCTGCTTCTCACCCTCTCGGACAGTGCCTGTTGCCGCGGTTCGGCGATCCCGAGCAAGCTCTGCATTCGGACCAGGACCAAAACCTCAGACTCAAATTCAAGGAGAGAGTAAGTTGGTCAAAGAGCCGCAAGGCGGCGAAACGGGGGAGCGCAACCATACCAGTACGAGTACAATGATGTTGCAATAGATGCAATAGATAATGTCGGCAGAGCAAATACGGGCAAGTATTCTTTTTCTGTTCAAGGTTTTTTTCTTTTTCAGTCGACGGTCGAGTTTGGAGGCCAAAAGGACAAGATGTGAAGCGGAAAAATCCGCAACTATATCAGAATTGGCGGTGAATTAACGGATTCGCGTCAACATAGCCGTCGTGGATCTACCGAAGCGCATTCCTCGCAGAATATCCCATACCGTTACTGTATATTTCTCGAGCAGAGAGAGAGAAAGAGAAGCAAAAAAAAAAAAACCCCCCCTCGTGGGTGGTCTTTGTTGGAACTTCCGTGTCACCGGTGTGAAGGCAGGCTCTCTGTGTGATGGTAGAGGCAGGCGGTTACCAATGCAATTATGCTTCGTTCAACACCCTTCCGTAGTAGGATATTCCACGGGGTAACCCAAGCCACTTAAGGCCCAATGTGAGGGTGAGATGGGACTCTGTGGACCCAGGTGCGCCACCAAAGTAAAAAAATACCGGTAAAGGGGATGACCGGAGGTGGGAGGAGGGGGGGGGGGGCGACGGAGATGCTGTGGGGGGGATGTTTCTCTTCTCTGATTTTTTCCCCCCATACCACAAAAAGCCGCCCGCTACCAGGTTTTGGGTCACGGCGAAGCTGAGGGTGGTTTCAAAGGAAAAAAAAAGAAAGCACAGAATACCGGTAGCCAAAGAGAGCAGAAGAAATGCTGTAAGGGATGAATACCGATCAAGGAAGCCCAGGCTCAAGATAACCTTGGGGGAAGTGTGTAGATGGAGGTGGTGCTACTACTGGTACACCATACAGTGCTCGAGCATGGTACTCGTACTGGAGGAGCGCGAGAGATGAGGAGGAAAGTGTGTGTGTGTGTGGTGCACGGTTGGCGAGTGGAAGGGATATGGCACTGCACCGCACAGCACCCGCAGGATACAAGTTCAATGACAATACTATACCGGTACTGCAACAAACCCGTGAAAGACAACCAGGAACCCTACTTCAACTCCAAGTGATAGATCCCTCTTATCTATGTGCGGGAAAAACAATGATGAGAGGTCTGAGCATGGGAGTCCTCTCCTCAGAATGCCCAGTGTATGATAACAGCTTCGAGGAAGGTGGTCGAGCGGGGGGTGCGCAGTAACGGTAAGTCCGAGTACCGTACCGGTACTTGTAGATAGAAAGTCCCAAAGCTCAAACAGTATTACCACAAGTGCCTGTATGATACTACCGTACAGAGACACCAACAGGATATCATAGTTTTACTTTCCCTCTTTCCCTCTCTTCCTCTCTCTCTCCCTCTCACTCTCTTCTCCCGGTCAGTGCGTATCTCCGAGCATCTACGGGCAATCATGCTTGAGTAGTGTTCGCACAATACCGTGTCGATCGTTCTGTCCTTGTCTGTGCCTACTCTCTGCCCGTTAATATGTTTAACTAATCGTCTCTCTGGTCTCGCAGCTCAGCAGTAGCTGCGCAAAAGAGATATCCCGAGTAAACGGTGGTCAAAGGAGGAAAGGCTATCCAGACTCTCATACAGTTACTGATACAGCCATAGTATATCCCAGACCACAACTCCTCTCATTCATCATACCTGGCAGCCTGATAGTGCTAAGCTCGAGATGAGCTTGACACGATGTTCCTCCACCTCTTCCCGCCCCCCTCTCTGCGATGGGGTCTGGGGTGGAGAGTGGCCACTATCGACCCATCATCGTCATTGTCCTCCCAACTACGACATTGTGTAGCTTGACACTGGACGGTACTGGTTGTTGCCTGTTGGACCAGAAGGCAATACAACAATAGGAAATGAGATAGAGCGATGGCAACTCTCGGGATACCTACGTGGATTGCCTGTTACTCCTGCCCCTCTCCCGCTCTGAACAGAATGCTTGGTTCTCCTCCCGCCCCGACTCCGGTCGAGTGATTTGAGGCGGGGAATGGGTTGGGCTCCAGTGCGGATAGCCACTGGGAGAGCGGAGAAATAGAGTACGAGTACTCGCACGGGAATGGACAACTCCACCATCGCCCTGAATATTAGCAGCCCAGAGCAAGTTGACCTCCCCCATCCATCATCATTCCTACACTCATCCATCTGCCGCTATGCATCCACCCATTCATGTCGATCCACACCCAACCCACTCCACATGCACATGCTTCACTCTCTCGCTTGAATCAACACAACCACCCACACAACTCACACCTACCGTACTCATCACAAATTCAAGCTCGCTCACTCTCCACTCCTCGCATTCCTTGATTAGACATCTTTCACGCACCGCTCGGGGGTTCCACTCGCCCAATGTACTCGTACGAGTACCGTACGGTACTTCGACTCACGTTAGATACCCGGAGCTAATGGGGAGGGCGCTCATTACTCAATTCCATTGTAAATTCCCCTCTCTCTCTCCTGTACCCCTTACCTCGCCGCTATTCTCGCCTAAGGTGACATCGCCTCCCCTCCAATACTCGAGTAATCGACTCAACCCCCCGAAACAACCACCACCACCACCATCGTCATCACCATCAACCACCATCACCATCCGGAATTGGCCACAGCGGAAGAAACCTTTATCAGTATTCCTTGTCAGAATTTTCCGCGTTCCTCCTGATCTGCCGTATTATCGAAAGGAAAAAGAAAAGAAAGAGAAAAAAGGGATACTTGTATCATTGAACACTTCTAGAGGAATCCGGATACGCGTAGAAGGAAAAAAAGTAAACCTTGCTGTTTACACCTCACCATACTAGGTCACCCGCCGTTTTTACTACGGTATTAGCAGAACTACGTCAGGGAAAAAGCGTGCCGGTATTTCATTCAGTAGCAGACCGAATGAGCAGGTGATTATTCTCTCCTTTCTTGTCCATCGATTGAACAACCGACTGTGAAGCATTTTCTTGGGATAGCGGCGAGTTCTTTCCCACCAACACCCAAAACCCTGTGTATCAAAAAATCAGTCTGTGCACCCCGCGCTGTGTGGGGTACATGCTTACCGAGCCCAATATAATCAATCATTCATCCATTCATTTTCACTCTTATTTCCACGCACACACTCGTACCTTGACTTCTATCAGCGACAAGTACGGTACGTGAGGCCGCCACACTTCAGTGACGCCATGGTAACCTATGGCACATACAAGTATGTCTTCTCCAGGTACCAGTGCTCGAGTAGTCAGGCACGGTACGGTACCGGTACTCCTGTACAGTAACGTGTGTAATATAATATATTGCTTGTATGACTGGAAAATAACCTACCCGAAATGAAGGAGTCAAGCGAGACGCCAGCCTGATCACCTGTCACCTGTTGTAAATCCTTACCCCTGCTCACCTCACTCTGTCCAATACGGCATCAGTTTGATGATGACTACCGTACAGTATCTCTTCTCGGGCACGGCAGCGGCCAACCTAAGCGCCATTCAATGGAAGGAGGACCACCTACGGTACGGTAGACATACGGTATCGGGTAACCATTACTAGTACAGCACCCACCTTTCTGTTCAGGAACACCGTTCCAGGCCACTTCACCTCATTCAATTGAAAGGCTGTCTTCTCTGGAATCGCCATGCTTTTGGCACACAGACCTCTTGCCCGGCTTGGCGCCTGGTCGCAGCAAGCACCGGTATCGTGAGAGCACCCCAATCTCTCACATTTTGCGCACAGCACAATCACGACCACGATATCCCTCCAAGGCGCAACAGTCCCTTTCGAATATCCCACCTTTCGTATCTGGTTTATCCAGGGGCCAACACCATCCCCGCATTGTTACTTTTTGGTTCCCGATTCTTCCATAAAAAGCAATACCCACTCGGCAGGGATAGAGCTCGTGGAATGAGGTTCGGGAGGGGTAACGCGTGATACTCTCTATCCTCCGTTGCTGCGGGGGATCTCGATTGAAAAATATTTGCAGAAAACTTATATGCACTTGGGGTCACCTCCCGATACAAGCAGCAAGCTTGTTACACCGGCAATAAAAGTACCGTGCTAGACTTTCGGCTGTCCCGGCTAGCTTGGTCCAATCATAGTTCTGCACCTGGGTCCCAGCTGCCAGCGTTGCTCCTCACTAGCAGGATATCCTCCCGGCACAAGTAACCTGAACAATTCCAAACTCGCTCCCGCCTCCTGAATATTTCTTCCGCCCGAGAAGCTTTAATCTGGGTCAAAGTCATCCGTTGTTACATCAGGGTTTCCGTTCGAATCCTTGCGCTCTCTCGCAATCATAATGGGATATCATAAATCCCATTATGACAGCCCAAATTTTATGCATCGGCATTTGGGCACGTGAGATGTTGGCGGTTAAGGATCAACTGCTTGGGCCAAGATCAACCTTTGATTGATTCCCTGGTTGGAGCTCCTTGAAACAGAATAACAGTGTGGTGGACACGGTGAACCGCTTTGCTGGAGTGTGATATTCTATCGCCCTGCCTTTCGTTCCTACCCCGTTTACGCTATAGACGGCACTTTGCCTGAACAAATAGCCATGGCTGTGTGGTTGAAGCTTATCAGGCCAGCTGTACCGTACTCAACTCAAACTTTACCAATTGTTCCTCTTTGTTGCATGTCAATTTCATCCCAACAAATCAATGGTAGTTCCCTTGAGTCGATCGGTGCAAGGGGCACAATCGCACCAATTGTGAGTACCCAACAGCGTTGGACGACAAACATCAACATGTCTTTAGAAGCCGTTTTTGCGCATCGCATTCCGGTGATATCTATATTCAGTAGAGTGCACAGCAGGCTAGCACGATCTGTTGGAGCGCTTCAGTACCCCTCATGACTAAACTCCCTTCCAGATATTGAGGCTTTTGGATCGATATCATTTTAACCATCCAAGTGTGGGACAACTGTTGCTAAGCGGCCAGCACCGGATGATTTCCGGCTAATACCAGAGAATGCCGTCCTTAACTGAAGGCTGATTCAGACCCGGCCTTGTGTGGAATACCGGTAGTGGGGCCCGGTACTTCATCGGTTGATGCCAGTTGACGCTTTAATCACGGCGCATGGGTTACCGGTAAACGTTTGCTGCAAAAAAAAAACCGCGATGATTTGACTTTCTGACCCGAAACTGTTCGGGCACAAGCCCTAATACACTGTGGTAGAAACTATGCTACTGTACTAGTACAATAATGGAGAATTTCGCTAGGCGTTGGAGTTGCCTCTCTTAGAAAGGGCTGTTGTATTGTTCGCCCGCGCTTGAGTACCTGTTCCAATAGCGGCTGAAAGAGAATCTCTCCCTCCCCTTAAGCCCGAGGGGCAATACTG